AAAGACGCCAGCATCGCTCCAGCCCTCTTGGCTTCCTCTCGCAATTCACTTTCATCTTCTGGCACCTTCTGGTCCACTGAGCGGAGGAACTCACGCAGAACCTCAGGGGAGTCAGCCTCGGACGGGATGTCCTGCTCCCAGTTCTGCCAGTGCGCAGCTCGCGCCGCAGCAGCCGCCTGCGCAGCCTGATCAGCCTCGCGCTGCTGCTGCTGCTGCTGCTGCTGCTGCTGCTCCAGCTGCTGCCGCTGCCGAGCTTCCTCGGCAGCACGGCGCTGCTGCGCACTGTGCAGCTCCTCCGCCGCCTTCGCCTCCGACAGGCACTCGAACAGCTTCTGCGCCAGCGTCGCGTTGCCGCCGGAACCCTCGCACTTCTCGACCGAGAGGTTGCTGGCCATGAGCTGCCTGAGCTCGTCGGCGCCGCCGTCGGACTTCGCTGGAGCTTTGGGGGCGCCAGCCACCAACTGGCACCTCTCGGCCTCCATCTCCGTGATCTCGTTGATCGTGGCCTGTAGCGCCTTAGCGGCGTCGTCCACCGCCTGCTGCGCCTCGACCACCACCTGCTTGAGTTCCTCGACCATCTCGGTCTGGCGCTCCCGCTTTTTAACCAACTTCGTGTGCTGAAAGGACATTTCCTTGAGCCGCGTGTCCAGAGATTTGCCACAAGTGATCTGACCCCGAAGAGAGGTCTGACGTGCTCGCAAAGTTCCTGCAAGTCATCAAACTCTGGGCCAACGAAGTCTGCAACCTTCTGCAGCTTCTCCGTGACGTCCCCGAGCTCCTTCCGAGCTTCTGCATCGCTGTCCTTGCCCGCGTCGACGTCCATGGCATCAATCTCGGGCTTGGGAGCGACATCCTTCTTCCGTAGCTGTGCAACTTCCTCGCGCAGCCGCTTGAGCTCAGAAGTGAGCTTGGGGTCTGGCTGCGCCTGTGCCTTGGTCGCCGACACCGAGGGAGCTGCAGGTTGCTTGATCCCCGCGAATGCTGACGCCTTGGGCTGCTTGCAGAGCGAACAGTGATCAAGGTCCGCTCTATTCCACCACCTGTCGCCAGTCTGGTGCGACCAGCAGTGCTTACAAAACCATGGCTTGGCCCATGCCTGGCGTCTCTGCTTATGCCCAGACGGCGGCGCACCGCCATGAGAACCGAGAGATGGCGCCATGGGCCTTCCGTATACTTCTGCGAAAAAGAGATCGTGCTGTCCACAGGCGGGAACCCCGCGTACAATAAACAGTATGCAGCAGCGCCTCCAGGCCTGGGCAGGCCACTGGGGAGACGCGAGAGCGGTCGGGGGCCGCAATAATCCCCCACGCCAGAATGTCAAGTCCTGAGCGAAACGCTACGGACTTGAGCCAAATTGCTACGGACGGAGGAGCACGAGTCGAGAAGCAGAAGGAGGAGGAGGAGGAGGAGGTGGAGAAGGAGGAGGACGAGGACGAGGACGAGGACGAGGACGAGGATCATTATGGAGGAGCGTGGAAGAAAACATGACTTGGGGCGCACAAGCCCCGGCCGCTCAGAAAGAGTAACACACAGCGCTGGCACGAAGGCTCCGGACCTCGTCCCAGCCTAGCCGCCGCCTTTTTCGGGTCGGCGTGTCCCACTCTCTCACATCCGCCAGGACATCACCGCCCACCAATACACACCAACCCAACCCGAAGGCCCCAATTTGCCCTTCACTCCCAGTGGGTGGGCGGCGTCGGGGAACATTGAAATAACACATGTTGAACCCGTACCCGCCCCAACTCGAAATTGGGGTCTTCGGGTTAGGTTGGGATGGTCTGGTAGGTAGTCAAGACAGGGGGGCAGGGGGGGGTAATGATGATGAACAGGAGGAGGTTGAGGTCAAGGCGCTTGGAGGGCGTGCCAGGCCACCTCCCTGACAGACGACACCCGCTGCGTGCGCAGTATGTGAAGTGCCCCCCCCGCGATTTCACGCGGGAATGCCCTAATGATGGGGTTCCGATCTGGCGGTCAGGCATGCATCGAGGCTCACGCACACCGGGGGCGGCATCGGAGGCGAAGGCAGCATGGGAAGTTTGTGCCCTTTGCGAGCGACCTCACCCGCCCATCTCGCCCGCGCGTTCCTCCCTCCCCGCCCCCTCCCCCGGCCCCCCTCCAGCCCGCCCCCCACCTTCATTCACGCCCCACCCTCCGCGCTCCCACCGCCATTCGCCCTCCCACCCCCCATCCGCATCTGGTGTTGCTGCTCCTCCTCCTCCTCCTCCTCCTCCTCCTCCTCCTCCTCCTCTGCCCCTTCGTCCTCCCCCTCCCCCCTCTCCTCCATCCCTTCTCCTTGTAGGTAACTCCTCCTTGTCGCACCCTTTGGCGCATCGGTTGGGCGGGCCAGGATTTGCGCTTGAGACGCCCACAGGGTTCGGGACATTGGAGCTTGACATTTTGCAAGAGCTTTACTGATGGAGGGTGGGTCGCTCTCAAAATGAAGCTCTCCGCCTCAGCGCCACACACATTCGTTTCGACAGTGTGCAGCAGTTTCATTAAC